ACTTTATGTAAAATCTCAATTAAATATTCAATAAAGATAGAGGCATGGCCTCACCATTAATATTAAAAAAAAAAAGTATTTTACTAAATTGTATAATCTGATAAGTGTTAATATATTTAAAACATTTGAGATTTAGTAGTTAAAGTAAAAATGTTTTCAAAAGATATTTGTATAATTATAGATTTTAATAAAATGAAACTAACAGATATAGTAAAATAACCAAAAAACTCATTAAAGTCTGCTTGGTTTATAAGTTTTTGCTATTATAATTAATTTAAATAGTTATAATAGCCATGTATATTGCAATAAATATATAGGTATATCCTATAATCATATTTATATACTATATATATAATTAGAAATTGCCTATAAAATTTATATTAAATTATAAAAAAATACAGATTTTAAATAATTATATTGTACTATTTATTAATACAACAATATTTCTTTCTTAAATAAAAAATAGTTCTAATTTTAAATTATTTAAATTTTAAAAAAATAATTTAAAAAATTATCAATTTGATCATTTTCTCAACATCTAACCCATATGATTCTTGTAAACAATTTTGATATCTAAAATTTAAATTTTATATTTAATAAATATTTAATTAATTTTAATAATTTTATTATTGTTATAATCAGATTTATAATTTTACTAATTCAAAAATTTTTCTTAATAAATTTTATAAAATTTTAAAAATAAAAAATAATGCTATGAATTTTGTATATTATTTACAATTTATACCCTTTACTCTTAAACAAACTATGTCCAATAATTATTGTCATAACTGAAGCCAAATATTTTAGTATATTTAGATTAGAATTTAAAGTTAATTTTTAAATAAAATAATATAGATAGATTTTGGTAATGTTTATATTCTCAAATTGAGGTACCTAATTTCCAGTTTAACCGTGGCAATAATTTATATAAATTGTTTTTTTGATTAATTTAGGTCATGTGATATTTCATGTCACGAGTGATTGTCGTTACTTAAATAAGTTACTTTGGTTAATTTAGTAATTAGCATTTATCTCAGATTAATATTTTTCTTTTAAATAATTCGGTCAGGAAGTCATGTGACTACGCCCTCGATTATTGGTTACGCTGATGCTTTTCTATCATGCATGTTTATGCATAATGATAATATGCATGGTATGATTTGAAACGTGCATTTTGCCTATCTCTAGCACCAAAGAAGCTCAGGTCGCGAGCACATTAAATTCAAAGCCAATGCGCTATTATTAGATGCGGGACATTCAATAACGGATTTATTTTTCTCTTCTGTTATAACAAAAGTTTAATTTAAATCTATTTGGCGTATAACACCTGTTATACGACCTATATTCATTATTAAAAAGAAAAACAATTGTTTGTACAGCATGACAAATCATGAAACACTCATGAATAATTCATGAAATGCACTACCAATACTATTCAAGGGAAGAACTGAATATTTTGCTTGAAAGCACCCCAAATAATTTCATATAACCTTACCTTAACACGTGCCCCTATTTATACTATTGATCTACAGTATTGTCATACTAGGCCTTTTAGAAAAATAAAGAATCTATCGCTATACAATCTGTGCAACGAAGCATTCAATTTGCACACTTTAGAGGCTGGCTAACATAATTAAAAACTATATAAAATGTTGGTTATTGTTTCCAAATACGCCGTATTAAAATTCACCTGAAAAATCATGGAACGAATTCCGAGACTTACTGACCACAATTTCCTAAACCTCCAAATTTTAATTCCAAAATCCGATTACGATTCCATAATTTTCCGGATACTTTATCAATACTATGTACTAGGAAATCAAAGGTCCAAAGCAATTAAGTTTTTTTAAAAGACTATATAAGTTCAATAGTTCATATGAGTACTCGCTGTGCTCGGACAATTAATACTTTATCCATTGTCGATTATTGTTATTAAGGAAATTGATTATCTCGTGAAGTACTTGATTTTAATTTCGGGTTTATTTAAAACATTTAAAACGAAAATAATTTGTAAATGATCATTACGTATAAGCTTTAATGTTTGTTTGTGTGTCACATAATGTAAACAATAAAAAACTATCATAATAAATATATTGTATTTTTTCATTGTGATTGACAAATTTAGCAAATTTTTCATATGCAAATACTGTGAAAACAATAGTTGGTATACTATATGAGTGACAAAAAGGGAAACCTGCAAATCATCCCACTCATTGAGTGAAATGATTTACAGATTATGATCGGATTTTTTAAAGGTTTATTTCACATATGAATTCACATATGAATTTGCGCTGATTTTTTTACCTATTGTATCGGTTTTTTACTGTAATTCTCGAATAACTCTACACTGCAATAAAGATGGGTTTACGATAATTTTCCATAAAATTAGAATAAAATTGTTTTAAAAGCTAGTCTAGAAATGTTCCTAAATCTGGTGTGAATTCATATGTAAATTCGTACGTAAGCAATACCAATAAAAAATCCGTTCATGATTTATATATTCTCGCGATTTAAGCCTTGGTTAAAAATGACGCTGAAATGGACGTTTGCCAATATGGTAAATGCTTTGAGTGTGGAGGTACCAATAGCGGTTCGAATTTTTGTTCCAAATGTGAAATCGATTTTCTCCGGCGTAATTTTTCCAAATGGACAAGCGGCAATGTCAATATTGATTCAATTATCCAAAAGACTCAAACTACTGCTTTCGTATGTGTGGACTATCTGGAATGGATCCCTTTCGAAAACTTTGATTTTGTTAAGTACCACGCAAGAGGCGCGTTCAGTGTAATTTATTCTAGCGTCTGGTTGGAAGGCCCTCGACATATCTTTGACAACGAATCCCAGGATTGGGTTAGAAGCGGGCCTATAAAATGTGCCTTGAAAAGAATCGAAAATTCTCAATCGATTTGTCAAGAATATTTAGATAATGTAAATATTTATTATTATTATTATATGAAATATAGCTTGGATCCAAGGCACAAGTTTCAGACACAATTAAATCCTAAAATACAGAAATAATAAACATTAAGTCACTATACTCATGCCTGTACCTCATTTTGCTTGTATTTAATTAATATATATTTTAGATTCTAAAATATCATGAATGTTTTCGAAATGCGTCTGCGGTGGTCGATTGTTTTGGACTGACACGTGACCCAACGGGTTGCTATATGCTCGTAACAAGATTTTACGAGTCCGGAAATTTACATCAATATCTCGCTAAAACCATGGGATGTCTTTGCTGGTATGACTTTTCTAAGTTTTCTTCAGTAACTTGCCAGAAAGTGTATAATTACTTGTTATACAGTAAACCCATTATGAAAAAAAAACAATATTATAATTAGATTTTTAACCCAATTTTTTTAAGCATCTTTATTACATCTATATGACTTACAAAAATTTGATTGTTTATTTACTTTAGGAGAGATGTTATCGATATGCTCTGGGGAATAATTGTCAGTGGTCTTGAGCCAATTCATGAAAATGAACTTTTTCATGGAAATCTCCATGGAGGTAATTTATTAGTTGAAGAACATCCTGAATTAATAAATGTAAAACTCTCTGATATTGGATTATATGGTCCTGCTGATAGTTTGACTTCCGGTATTTATGGTGTTTTACCTTATATCGCTCCGGAAGTGTTAAGAGGTAAAAAATATACTCAAGAATGCGACATTTATAGTTTTGGAATTATTATGTGGACAATGTCTTCGTTTATCCCTCCTTTTTGTCACATTCCTCATGACCTCGATCTTGCAACACGTATATGTGATGGTTTAAGGCCAGATATCATTGATGGTACTCCTGAAGTTTATATAACATTAATGGAAAGATGTTGGCATCAAGATCCAAGCCAGAGACCTAAAGTTTCAGAACTTGCTGAAATTTTAACTTCTTGGATAACTGCTATCAGCGATGACCCTGGTATTTTATATGCTTTTTTGGGATCTCTTGCAGTATAGGTGGATGAACTTTAATAAAGACTCAATTTTCGGATCAGACCAAACTTTTAACATCCTTATCTACACTGAAAGAGATTTTTTTTTGCTCTTTTTTACTTTTTTGCAAAAACTTATTAAATTTTATTGCTTTTTAAATTTATAAAGATCCTTCACCAACTTCTGAGCAATTTGATATTGCTGAAGAAAAGAGATTTTCTGATTTAATAAATAAAACTTTTTCCAAACCAAAATTCCATAATCAAGCTGTTTATTTTAGCAGATTATTAGATTATAGATCTCTTTGCAAGAATACTCAATAGGAATACTTATGTCTGGATTATGGAACATTATTTTTTGATAAATATGATATAGATTATTATATGGATTATGTTTAATAATTATTATATAGATTATGATTAATTTTTAAAAACACGAAATACAGCATTCATGGCAACGAAATATGGTATTCATGCATTTATTAAAAGTAGGTAAGATTTATCATAGATGCAATTCAACAAAAAAAATTAATTTATAATATAAATATAAATCAATGTTTTCTCACAATTTAATATTTAAATCAGGAAACAATATAATTAATCATGATTTAAATATATAGATAGATATGAGAAAAAAAAACTAATATGTATAATATAATTTTACTGGTGTTTTTAATTACATGTTGCAATAAAAATAATAAGATTATATAAGAACTTTATGTATTTACAATATTATATGTACTTGGTTAAAAAGTTTGTTATTTTTTATGCACCAATTTTGTTACATTGGTAAAATTAAAAATTTTGAATATCATTTGACTGTGCATAATTGGCTAATAAATTTACAATAATAAATATAACAGGTGGATATAATAATAGCAATTCCCTTTTTTAATTCAGTGAATTTCAAATTTTACTTTGATTCTTTTTTTATATTCATCAGCATAATGCTTGAAAGCAAATTAATATATATTTAATCCCAATAAATCTCCTAACATAATTAACAAAATTACCAATAAACCACTAATTAAAATCAATTCATTATAATTATCAGCTAAACAAAAAGATACAATTAAAAAATAGTATGAAGTATTGGGACCTTTGTAATAAAAAAAATTCAAAAAATATAATTTTGAAGATAATTAAACTAATATTGTGTTCAGACTTATATAGAATTTTGCCTAAATCTTACAAAGTCATATGATTTTAGAGGTCCTAGAGCTGTTCTTATTCTGAGTTCTCTTAGCATATAAGGTAGCTGCATAATGCAGTTGTGCTAAAAACCAGGACAAAAGCAAATATAATAGTTAATAAATAGTCCAAGTAATATACAAACGAGAACTGATCTAGCATCTCATTAATATATTGTAAAACATTTGATATACACTACCAGGCAGTTGACTTGCATTAGATAATCAAACAGAAGTTTACTAGGCATCATACAATAAATTATCAGATTATTAGGTTTGCCTTTAATAAACCCAATAAAAATCCTACAAAAAAATAAAAAATGTTAAATATCAGGTAAATAGATAAATTATCAGTACCGAGTTACCAATTTTTGAGTCTAAAATTCTTGCTTTTACTATTGTTGTAATCATAACTACGACATCGATTATGGTTTTATTTTTTTGCATTTAAATTATATGCGTGAATAGCTCACACAGACCAATCAAACTTAGGATATTGCTATTTTATGATATAGTTAACGTTTTTGTAAGATTCAACCTCTAACTAATACTAACAATTTATCAGGCCAACCTTATCACTCAAGCTTTATTAATAAAATGACTGTCAACAAAATAATTCATGAAAATTGGTCTATATTGTACCTATGGAATGTTTATTTTTAGGGGTTACTAAATTCTAAATACTGCATAAATTGCATTTTTAATATCTGTATAACACAACCAAAAGGTAACTTTAAAACTCGCTATGCTATTGCCATAAAAATTTTTGTCACGTAATAGTGATTGATGCACAAAAAATTCTTTAAGTTATGCTATAGGCTAATTGGACTCATTTGAGTGATATTTGAAAGTGATCATCCAGATTTGTACAACAAGATGTGCCAATCAGATCTATAACATGATAAGAAAGATTTTGAAATACCAAACAATTATTCTTTCTAGAAAAAAAATCATTTTTTTATCCTATTAAAAAACTCAAAAAACAGGTTGATGATGAGTTGGTAATAAGTTGTTTGCCACTGTGGTCATAGGTAGATGTTAAACCAACATCTGCACATACTCAATAGTTATTGTTTACAGATATGTATATTTTTATTTATATATAATGTTCTAACTTTTACATTTTATAAACTTTTTGTTTGTTTAACTTCATTTAAACTGAGTGTTTTGAATAAACAATTCTTTAATTTTTTTTTTTTAAAAAAAAACCTTTCTCAAATAAACAAAAAAAAAAGTCTAAATTACCTTTAAAAGAAATGTAAGATTCTAGTTCCACTTGCTATTCTCTTTAAGAGGTTTGCTGACTGGATAATATATAAACTAATATTTTAAAAATTACTAGTGATTATTCAAACATATGTATAACACAATATACTAGAAATAAAAAACAACAATTTCTTTACAAAATTTTACATCTTGGTTTTTATCTACAACAAGTAAAGTGAGCTCAATGAGATGACCATTCAATTTCTAATAGATATATAGTTAGCATAAAGGTTTATAATATATATCTAATTGCTGAAACCTAGTATAATTTGAATAGAAAGGTTATATATATAATTACTTGAGATAGTTATAATAGAAAAAAATAATCCATCTCAAGCAATAAATTAACTAGTAATGTTTTAGCTTTATTTTTGCAGATTATAATTAATTAATAAAATATTATAAATAAATTAATTAATAAATTATTGTAGTATGTATATTATATACTTATATAAATAATATATTTTATATAAAATAGAAATTAAAAAGAGATAGTAATTTATAATTTTTTGAGATTATATTTTTTGAACTTAATCTAAAATGTTTAAAAGTATATTGAAATTTAGATCAAACTTTTTTTAAAACTCAATTACGAAAAAAACTATTTCACGAACTTCAATCTAAATCACAAAAAAATAAACATCTCAAAATCTTGGCTTGTGATATTCATAATGGAATCGAGTTTGCAATTCAATTATATGACTTTTATAATACTGTATTGAAATTTATAGAATTAAATATAAATAATTTATCTATTATTTTTCAAAATTCTAAATCTAAAAAATTTTAATCAAATCAATTGTTTTTTTTTTTTATTTATTTTATTTTATTAAAGCTGATGTTATCAGTAGCTACCTCCTTTATTGTGTTTTTGGTCAATGCATTACATATGATTTGTATAAGGTAAATGTGCAACTAGCTACATATGTAACTTTTGGTTACCTATTTAAGTAGTCTGCCCAAGAGTTCTACACTAGCTGCCATGCCTGTAACCTACTAGGAGGGTACCTATTTAAACACTCTGATTCTTATACTACACCCA